GAGATTAGCTGGCTGTAACACTAGGTTAATACCTAGAAGAGGGCTTCTGACTGTCCTGCAATATACTGAATACATAATATACACTATACTGTACTGCACCCTACCTATACAGTATCTCTTCTGGTTTGATATGCTTTATTCTATCCAGTATTACCAGTAGTTCCTGGTAATAAGTTAGTGAAGATAACGTTTCAAATGAGTGGTAGTTGGAGTACGTGCCAGTCCTGATCTTTAAGAATAATTTTTTTTTTTAAAAGTTTGGATTTATTTATGTGGAACTGTAAACGAAATAGCAGTCAGAGGAGGCTGGTGGGAGGAGCTATAGGAGGACTGGCTCATTGTAATGGCTGGAATGGAATTCATGGAACGGAGTCAAACGTGTGGTTTCCATATGTTTGATATATTCCATTTATTCCATTCCAGCTATTACAATAAGCCATCCTCCTATAGCTCCTCCCACCAGCCTCCTCTGATAGCCGTGATATTTCAAACCTACACAAAACGTCCCCTGTGAGTTGTTAATTCCTCACCAGTTTAGTTGTATGTTGCTTATGAAACCATAACAACTGTGATGACATGTGTATACAGAAGTAATAACAAATAGAGAAGCCTCACCCCACCCCCCAACAACATTCATCACTGTTGCGGTTGTTAATATGTCTATTATTACTTTTTTATTACAATTGTTATTGGGGTTTTTTCACTTGGTCCCCTCAATGGTCATTCCACCCCACCCCCTCAACAGTCTTTATTCTGACTCTACCCCAATAGACATGTATTTATTCGTCACTACCACAGTTGTCATTATGATATACAGTTGAAGTCGGAAGTTTACATACACTTAGGTTGGAGTCATTAAAACTTGTTTTTCAACCACTGCACAAATTTCTTTTAAACAAACTATAGTTTTGGCAAGTCGGTTAGGACATCTACTTTGTGCATGACACAAGTCATTTTTCCAACAATTGTTTACAGACAGATTATTTCACTTATAATTCACTGTATCACAATTCCAGTGGGTCAGAAGTTTACATACACTAAGGTGACTGTGCCTTTAAACAGCTTGGAAAATTCCAGAAAATGATGTCATGGCTTTAGAAGCTTCTGATAGGCTAATTGACATCATTTGAATCAATTGGAGGTGTACCTGTGGATGTATTTCAAGGACTACCTTCAAACTCAGTGCCTCTTTGCTTGACATCATGGGAAAATCAAAAGAAATCAGCCAAGACTTCAGAAAAATAATTGTAGACCTCCACAAGTCTGGTTCATCCTTGGGAGCAATTTCCAAACACCTGAATGTACCATGTTCATCTGTACAAACAATAGTACGCAAGTATAAACACCATGGGACCACGCAGCCATTATACCGCTCAGGAAGGAGGCGCTGACCCACTGGAATTGTGATACAGTGAATTATAAGTGAAATAATCTGTCTGTCTCCTAGAGATGAACGTACTTTGGTGCGAAAAGTGCAAATCAATCCCAGAACAACAGCAAAGGACCATGTGAAGATGCTGGAGGAAACAGGTACGAAAGTATCTATATCCACAGTAAAACGAGTCCTATATCAACATTACCTGAAAGGCCGCTCAGCAAGGAAGAAGCCACTGCTCCAAAACCGCCATAAAAAAGCCAGACTACAGTTAGCAACTGCACAAAGATCATACTTTTTGTAGAAATGTCCTCTGGTCTGATGAAACAAAAATAGAACTGTTTGGCCATAATGACCATTGTTATGTTTGGAGGAAAAAGGGGGTGCTTGCAAGCCGAAGAACACCATCCCAACCGTGAAGCACGGGGGTGGCAGCATCATGCTGTGGGGTTGCTTTGCTGCAGGAGGGACTGGTGCACTTCACAAAATAGATGGCATCATGAGGAAGGAAAATTATGTGGATATATTGAAGTAACATCTCAAGACATCAGTCAGGAAGTTAAAGTTTGGTCGCAAATGGGTCTTCCAAATGGACAATGACCCCAAGCATACTTCCAAAGTTGTGGCAAAATGGCTTAAGGACAACAAAGTCAAGGTATTGGAGTGGCCATCACAAAGCCCTGACCTCAATTCTATAGAAAATGTGTGGGCAGAACTGAAAAAGCGTGTGCGAGCAAGGAGGGCTACAAACCTGACCTAGTTACACCAACTCTGTCAGGAGGAATGGGCCAAAATTCACCCAACTTATTGTGAGAAGCTTGTGGAAGGCTACCCAAAATGTTTGACCCAAGTTAAACAATTTAAAGGCAATGCTACCAAATACTAACTGAGTGTATGTAAACTTCTGACCCACTGGGAATGTGATGAAATAATAAAAAGCTGAAATAAATCATTCTCTCTACTATTATTCTGACATTTCACATTCTTAAAATAAAGTGGTGATCCTAACTGACCTAAAACAGGGACTTTGTACTAGGATTAAATGTCAAGAATTGTGAAAAACTGAGTTTAAATGTATATATCAGATATGTAGTCCATTGTCAGGTGTCAGTGTGCAGCGGTAGGACGGAGTCAGGCGCAGGACACAGAACTGAGTAACAGATTAACTTTACTCAGAAAGAAACAAATACTAATTCCACGCAGGGAAATAAACCAGCTCACAGCAGTAATAAACACCAAACAAAGAACAATCACGCACAAAACCATGAGTGAACCAGAGGGTTAAATAGGGAAATAATAATGACGTGATGGGAACCAGGTTTGTACAATAAAGACAAAACAAATAGAAAACAGAAACGTAGATCGGTGGCAGCTAGAAGACCGGTGACAACGACCGCCGATAGCCGCCCGCACAAGGAGAGGCACCAACTTCGGCGGAAGTCGTGACATCCATTCCCGCCATTGGCCTGCCTTGTCCAGGATCACACTGGATGATCTATGCTTAGCCTGCTCTTTTGTTCAGGTTGCCAGGGTGATTTCTTATGTTTGGAATCTGTATGGTTGTTTTCCAGTACAATGTACCATAGATTAGGTTGGCAGGTTTTAGTTAGCAACCACATTGCTAGGCTTCATTATTGTGTATTTATCAGGTTTCTGCTAAGACGCTGGTCTGAACACAACACATTTTCTCAGGCATGTCTGCATCACCAAGGCCCACTGGCAAATCTATGCGGAGGAATCTAACCAATGGGCAGAATGTTTTAATTTGGTTACCAAGAGATAAAACTGTACTGTGACGCACTGTGGTGATACACCCAGAATGTCATCATATCATCATATAAAGATAGAGGGATGGGCATATCTGACAGAAATCTAATTATAAGAACATACTGTTGACTTCTTACATCTTGCACTGTGAATAAAAGGGGGTAATTAAATCTTGTGTTTTCTCATTAGTCTTTGTTGGGTTTCATCTCTGGTAATCAACTAAGACCCTTGGGTCTATCTTCTTTCATTCTTAATCTACATGAGCTACTAACAGATTGATACAGTACTGTAGACTACATCTGTGTTTTGCAGCATTGGTCCCACACTGGTCTAGTTCCGGGAGCCGTTTTCTGGTTTCGGTCACCTTGCCTTGTTATCATCATAACCAATAAAATGTATAATACGTCAGCTGTGATCATAAAAGCCTTTCTCTCAGTCCACCACCCATCCTATCAGATAACTCTGTATTTATTCAATCCACTCCCTCATACCACAGGTACCACGTGTGAGGAAGGGGATGTACGTGTGTGTGTGTGTGTGTGTGTGTATGTGATGAAATAGTCTGTGTGCATACAAGTGTGTTCTCTATCTCTAATATGGATGGCCTTTAAGTTCGGCCTCGACAGGTGTGTGTGCTCTCTGGTAATTTTTCATCTGTAAATGGGTTTTGGTTACCAAGTGACAGAGCCATTAGGTCACACGAAGCAATGTACACTCTGGCGTGTACGGTGTGTTCCTGGAAAATAATTGAATCACAAACAGAATCAGATATTCGTTTTGGTTTTCCCCCACTTCCCCCTGCATCTCTGCTGCCTGGTAAGGTAGGAGCAACACAGGGTTTGTATAAGGCGTTAGGCAACCACTGCCATCTGCCTAAGTCGCATCCCAAATGGCACCCTGTATTGACCAGTGTCAAAAGTAGTGCACTATGTAGGGAATAGGGTGCCATTTGGGATTCAGCCCTGTTGTACATGTATTCCCTCTCTACTCTAGCTGGAGGAGGGAATAGAAAAGGAGGGGAGGTTGAATGTATTCAGCCAATGCATACAGATGAGGACCCAGCTCTGCGGCTCGGGGTAAACAGGCTGAGGCAGTATTCTATCAAAGGCCTCCTGCTGGGTGTGCTGCTCCTCAAGCTGCTGTGAAGCTCCCTGTGTTCTCCTCCAAACACAAAGAGACCAGAGCAGATTGGGTTTAACAGTACCGTGGACAGGCGTCAGCACAACACGCTAAGATAAATAAGACGCTGAGTCCTCTTTGAAGAGACTGGTAATGAACTTGGCTAAACACAACACTGACCTATTACGTGATGCAGTGAGTGGCATTTGAGGTACGTCAGTAAGGGGATGATTGTGTACTTGTCTTTTGTCACGCTTATGACGTGATGCACCTTTGTATGTCTTTGTGACACAACTGGAATGGTGATCTCAGCTAAAGCTAAAGCAAACGCCACAATGACTTTTCATCACTAAGCTCAAACACTGAACTCTTTTGGTGTTTAGATACCAGTGCTTTTGCAGATTCAAATGCATGCTGTAAACCAGGGCTATTCAACTGCATTCCTGGAGGGCCCAAACACATCTGTTTTTTGATAGTTCAATTTATTCATCAGTCTCAGGTCTAAGTCATCTCTGATTATAGGGGGAAAAAGAACACCAGAAGAGTAACTGGCCTCGAAGGCCAAGGTTTAAGACTTCTGGTTGAGCCCACAGGCTTTGACTCCCTAACCTTTGACCTAACCTTTGACCTTAACATAACAGGTCTGTTTCAATATTGCAGGTTTGGGGTGTTTTGCAGAGTGTGTATGGCGCACATGAAGCTCATGACTGTATGTTTGTAGTGTTATCTGTTTCTGTAGGGGCAGATTTCAACACCTCAACTCCTGGCACACATGGCAGCCCTGGGCCCACAGATACATCCATGACTCCAGGAGATAGATCCACCACCCTCTTATCCACAAAGACCCCAGTCTCCACTGAACCCAGCTCCACCACCACAGACAGAGCCACCACCACCATCCAGGACCCCTCAACTGTCCTCACTAGCACTGAGGGCACCTCACCCACAACAGCAGCCATCTCTAAAACTGAAGAGGTCTCTACTACAACAGACCGGACCTCAACTTCTGATACGAAAGAGTCTACACAAGCAGTCAGCACCACTGCGACAGAAACCAGAACTATCTCATCAGTCAGCATAGCAGAGATTACTTCCTCCCACAAGACCACAGCGTACACTGTCACTTCCCCTGAGTCGACGGAAAAAGACAGTCCATCTACAGACAGCGGCACGACAACACCCACCACCACACCTGGCCTTAGCAGAGGTGTCTCTCTGTCTACCACGGAATATACCGGAACCTCCTCTGTCACCACTGAGACAGGCCGTACCTCAGCTGATGTCCCCACAGAGTCAAACACAACTCCAGACATTGTCCCAACCAGCAGCACCAAAGAGCCAGGCACACATGAAACAACAGCTTTCAATACAGCTATCACAGATACAGGTACCAAAGACAGTGAGACCACAGGTACAGGGATCACAAAGACCACCATCCCACCAACTGATCAGACTTCTCTCCCAGTAACAGAGGGTAGTACCGTGTCTTCTACACCCTCCGCTGCCACTACAAAGGGCCCTGAGACCTCTCTCCCAGTATTCCATAGTACCTTGCCCTCTTCCTCGACCACCGCCAATACAGAGGGCTCCCAGGTCCCCACTACAAAGGGTAATGTGACCTCTCTCCCAGTATTCCATAGTACCTTGCCCTCTTCCTCGATCACCGCCAATACAGAGGGCTCCCAGGTCCCCACAACAAAGGGCCCTGAGACCTCTCTCCCAGTATTCCATAGTACCTTTCCCTCTTCCTCGACCACTGCCAATACAGAGGGCTCCCAGGTCCCCACAACAAAGGGCATTGTGACCTCTCTCCCAGTATCACATAGTACCTTGCCCTCTTCCTCAACCACCGCCAATACAGAGGGCTCCCAGGTCCCCACTACAAAGGGCCCTGAGACCTCTCTCCCAGTATTCCATAGTACCTTGCCCTCTTCCTCGACCACTGCCAATACAGAGGGCTCCCAGGTCCCCACTACAAAGGGCAATGTGACCTCTCTCCCAGTATCACATAGTACCTTGCCCTCTTCCTCGACCACTGCCAATACAGAGGGCTCCCAGGTCCCCACTACAAAGGGCAATGTGACCTCTCTCCCAGTATCACATAGTACCTTTCCCTCTTCCTCGACCACTGACAATACAGAGGGCTCCCAGGTCCCCACTACAAAGGGCAATGTGACCTCTCTCCCAGTATCACATAGTACCTTGCCCTCTTCCTCGACCACTGCCAATACAGAGGGCTCCCAGGTCCCCACTACAAAGGGCAATGTGACCTCTCTCCCAGTATCACATAGTACCTTGCCCTCTTCCTCAACCACCGCCAATACAGAGGGCTCCCAGGTCCCCACTACAAAGGGCAATGTGACCTCTCTCCCAGTATCACATAGTACCTTGCCCTCTTCCTCGACCACCGCCAATACAGAGGGCTCCCAGGTCCCCACTACAAAGGGCAATGTGACCTCTCTCCCAGTATCACATAGTACCTTAACCTCTTCCTCGACCACTGCCAATACAGAGGGCTCCCATGTCCCCACTACAAAGGGCAATGCTACCTCTGTCCCAGTATCACATAGTACCTTGCCCTCTTCCTCGACCACCGCCAATACAGAGGGCTCCCAGGTCCCCACAACAAAGGGCCCTGAGACCTCTCTTCCAGTATCACATAGTACCTTTCCCTCTTCCTCGACCACCGCCAATACTGAGGGCTCCCATGTCCCCACTACAAAGGGCAATGTGACCTCTCTCCCAGTATCACATAGTACCTTGCCCTCTTCCTCGACCACTGCCAATACAGAGGGCTCCCAGGTCCCCACTACAAAGGGCAATGTGACCTCTCTCCCAGTATCACATAGTACCTTGCCCTCTTCCTTGACCACCGCCAATACAGAGGGCTCCCAGGTCCCCACTACAAAGGGCAATGTGACCTCTCTCCCAGTATTCCATAGTACCTTGCCCTCTTCCTCGACCACCACCAATACAGAGGGCTCCCAGGTCCCCACAACAAAGGGCCCTGAGACCTCTCTCCCAGTATTCCATAGTACCTTTCCCTCTTCCTCGACCACTGCCAATACAGAGGGCTCCCAGGTCCCCACTACAAAGGGCAATGTGACCTCTCTCCCAGTATCACATAGTACCTTGCCCTCTTCCTCGACCACCGCCAATACAGAAGTCTCCCAGGTCCCCACTACAAAGGGCAATGTTACCTCTCTCCCAGTATCACATAGTACCTTTCCCTCTTCCTCGACTACTGCCAATACAGAGGGCTCCCAGGTCCCCACTATGAACGGCAATGCGACCTCTCTCCCAGTATCACATAGTACCTTGCCCTCTTCCTCGACCACTGCCAATACAGAGGGCTCCCAGGTCCCCACAACAAAGGGCCCTGAGACCTCTCTCCCAGTATTCCATAGTACCTTGCCCGCTTCCTCGACCACCGCCAATACAGAGGGCTCCCAGGTCTCCACTACAAAGGGCAATGTGACCTCTCTCCCAGCATTCCATAGTACCTTGCCCTCTTCCTCGACCACCGCCAATACAGAGGGCTCCCAGGTCCCCACTACAAAGGGCCCTGAGACCTCTCTCCCAGTATTCCATAGTACCTTGCCCTCTTCCTCGACCACTGCCAATACAGAGGGCTCCCAGGTCCCCACTACAAAGGGCAATGTGACCTCTCTCCCAGTATCACATAGTACCTTGCCCTCTTCCTCGACCACTGCCAATACAGAGGGCTCCCAGGTCCCCACTACAAAGGGCAATGTGACCTCTCTCCCAGTATCACATAGTACCTTTCCCTCTTCCTCAACCACTGACAATACAGAGGGCTCCCAGGTCCCCACTACAAAGGGCAATGTGACCTCTCTCCCAGTATCACATAGTACCTTGCCCTCTTCCTCGACCACTGCCAATACAGAGGGCTCCCAGGTCCCCACTACAAAGGGCAATATGACCTCTCTCCCAGTATCACATAGTACCTTGCCCTCTTCCTCGACCACCGCCAATACAGAGGGCTCCCAGGTCCCCACTACAAAGGGCAATGTGACCTCTCTCCCAGTATCACATAGTACCTTGCCCTCTTCCTCGACCACCGCCAATACAGAGGGCTCCCAGGTCCCCACTACAAAGGGCAATGTGACCTCTCTCCCAGTATCACATAGTACCTTGCCCTCTTCCTCGACCACCGCCAATACAGAGGGCTCCCAGGTCCCCACTACAAAGGGCAATGTGACCTCTCTCCCAGTATCACATAGTACCTTGCCCTCTTCCTCAACCAGCATCAATACTGAGGGCTCCCAGGTCCCCACTACAAAGGGCAATGTGACCTCTCTCCCAGTATCACATAGTACCTTGCCCTCTTCCTCGACCACCGCCAATACAGAGGGCTCCCAGGTCCCCACTACAAAGGGCAATGTGACCTCTCTCCCAGTATCACATAGTACCTTGCCCTCTTCCTCGACCACCGCCAATACAGAGGGCTCCCAGGTCCCCACTACAAAGGGCAATGTGACTTCTCTCCCAGTATCACATAGTACCTTGCCCTCTTCCTCGACCACCGCCAATACAGAGGGCTCCCAGGTCCCCACTACAAAGGGCAATGTGACCTCTCTCCCAGTATCACATAGTACCTTGCCCTCTTCCTCAACCAGCATCAATACAGAGGGCTCCCATGTCCCCACTACAAAGGGCAATGTGACCTCTCTCCCAGTATTCCATAGTACCTTGCCCTCTTCCTCGACCACCGCCAATACAGAGGGCTCCCAGGTCCCCACAACAAAGGGCCCTGAGACCTCTCTCCCAGTATTCCATAGTACCTTTCCCTCTTCCTCGACCACTGCCAATACAGAGGGCTCCCAGGTCCCCACTACAAAGGGCAATGTGACCTCTCTCCCAGTATCACATAGTACCTTGCCCTCTTCCTCGACCACCGCCAATACAGAAGTCTCCCAGGTCCCCACTACAAAGGGCAATGTTACCTCTCTCCCAGTATCACATAGTACCTTTCCCTCTTCCTCGACTACTGCGAATACAGAGGGCTCCCAGGTCCCCACTATGAACGGCAATGCGACCTCTCTCCCAGTATCACATAGTACCTTGCCCTCTTCCTCGACCACTGCCAATACAGAGGGCTCCCAGGTCCCCACAACAAAGGGCCCTGAGACCTCTCTCCCAGTATTCCATAGTACCTTGCCCGCTTCCTCGACCACCGCCAATACAGAGGGTTCCCAGGTCCCCACTACAAAGGGCAATGTGACCTCTCTCCCAGCATTCCATAGTACCTTGCCCTCTTCCTCGACCACCGCCAATACAGAGGATTCCCAGGTCCCTACTACGAACGGCAATGTTACTTCTCTCCCAGCTTTCCATAGTACCTTGCCCGCTTCCTCAACCACCGCCAATACAGAGGGTTCCCAGGTCCCCACTACGAACGGCAATGTTACCTCTCTCCCAGTATTCCATAGTACCTTGCCCTCTTCCTCGACCACCGCCAATACAGAGGGCTCCCAGGTCACCACAACAAAGGGCAATGCTACATCTCTCCCAGTATCACATAGTACCTTTCCCTCTTCCTCGACTACTGCCAATACAGAGGGCTCCCAGGTCCCCACTATGAACGGCAATGTGACCTCTCTCCCAGTATTCCATAGTACCTTTCCCTCTTCCTCGACCACTGCCAATACAGAGGGCTCCCAGGTCCCCACTACAAAGGTCAATGTGACCTCTCTCCCAGTATCACTTAGTACCTTTCCCTCTTCCTCGACCACTGCCAATACAGAGGGCTCCCAGGTCCCCACTACAAAGGGCAATGTGACCTCTCTCCCAGTATTCCATAGTACCTTGCCCTCTTCCTCGACCACCACCAATTTAGAGGGCTCCCAGGTCCCCACAACAAAGGGCCCTGAGACCTCTCTCCCAGTATTCCATAGTACCTTTCCCTCTTCCTCGACCACCGCCAATACAGAGGGTTCCCAGGTCCCTACTACGAACGGCAATGTGACCTCTCTCCCAGCATTCCATAGTACCTTGCCCGCTTCCTCGACCACCGCCAATACAGAGGGTTCCCAGGTCCCCACTACAAAGGGCAATGTGACCTCTCTCCCAGTATTCCATAGTACCTTGCCCTCTTCCTCGACCACCGCCAATACAGAAGTCTCCCAGGTCCCCACTACAAAGGGCAATGTTACCTCTCTCCCAGTATCACATAGTACCTTTCCCTCTTCCTCGACTACTGCCAATACAGAGGGCTCCCAGGTCCCCACTATGAACGACAATGTGACCTCTCTCCCAGTATCACATAGTACCTTGCCCTCTTCCTCGACCACTGCCAATACAGAGGGCTCCCAGGTCCCCACAACAAAGGGCCCTGAGACCTCTCTCCCAGTATTCCATAGTACCTTGCCCTCTTCCTCGACCACTGCCAATACAGAGGGCTCCCAGGTCCCCACTACAAAGAGCAATGTGACCTCTCTCCCAGTATTCCATAGTACCTTGCCCGCTTCCTCGACCACCGCCAATACAGAGGGCTCCCAGGTCCCCACTACAAAGGGCAATGTTACCTCTCTCCCAGCATTCCATAGTACCTTGCCCTCTTCCTCGACCACCGCCAATACAGAGGATTCCCAGGTCCCTACTACGAACGGCAATGTTACCTCTCTCCCAGCATTTCATAGTACCTTGCCCGCTTCCTCAACCACCGCCAATACAGAGGGTTCCCAGGTCCCCACTACGAACGGCAATGTTACCTCTCTCCCAGTATTCCATAGTACCTTGCCCTCTTCCTCAACCACCGCCAATACAGAGGGCTCCCAGGTTCCCACAACAAAGGGCAATGTTACCTCTCTCCCAGTATCACATAGTACCTTTCCCTCTTCCTCGACTACTGCCAATACAGAGGGCTCCCAGGTCCCCACTATGAACGGCAATGTGACCTCTCTCCCAGTATCACATAGTACCTTGCCCTCTTCCTCGACCACCTGCCAATACAGAGGGCTCCCAGTTCCCCACAACAAAGGGCCCTGAGACCTCTCTCCCAGTATTCCATAGTACCTTTCCCTCTTCCTCGACCACTGCCAATACAGAGGGCTCCCAGGTCCCCACTACAAAGGGCAATGTGACCTCTCTCCCAGTATCACTTATTACCTTGCCCTCTTCCTCGACCACCGCCAATACAGAGGGCTCCCAGGTCCCCACTACAAAGGGCAATGTTACCTCTCTCCCAGTATCACATAGTACCTTGCCCTCTTCCTCGACCAGCACCAATACAGAGGGCTCCCATGTCCCCACTACAAAGGGCAATGTTACCTCTCTCCCAGTATCACATAGTACCTTGCCCTCTTCCTCGACCACTGCCAATACAGAGGACTCCCATGTCCCCACTACAAAGGGCAATGTTACCTCTCTCCCAGTATCACATAGTACCTTTCCCTCTTCCTCGACTACTGCCAATACAGAGGGCTCCCAGGTCCCCACTATGAACGGCAATGTGACCTCTCACCCAGTATCACATAGTACCTTGCCCTCTTCCTCGACCACCGCCAATACAGAGGGCTCCCAGGTCCCCACAACAACGGGCCCTGAGACCTCTCTCCCAGTATTCCATAGTACCTTTCCCTCTTCCTCGACCACTGCCAATACAGAGGGCTCCCAGGTCCCCACTACAAAGGGCAATGTGACCTCTCTCCCAGTTTTCCATAGTACCTTGCCCTCTTCCTCGACCACCGCCAATACTGAGGGCTCCCATGTCCCCACTACAAAGGGCAATGTGACCTCTCTCCCAGTATCACATAGTACCTTGCCCTCTTCCTCGACCACCCCCAATACAGAGGGCTCCCAGGTCCCCACAACAAAGGGCCCTGAGACCTCTCTCCCAGTATTCCATAGTACCTTTCCCTCTTCCTCGACCACTGCCAATACAGATGGCTCCCAGGTCCCCACTACAAAGAGCAATGTGACCTCTCTCCCAGTATCACATAGTACCTTGCCCTCTTCCTCGACCACTGCCAATACAGAGGGCTCCCAGGTCCCTACTACGAACGGCAATGTGACCTCTCTCCCAGCATTCCATAGTACCTTGCCCGCTTCCTCGACCACCACCAATACAGAGGGTTCCCAGGTCCCCACTACGAATGGCAATGTGACCTCTCTCCCAGTATTCCATAGTACCTTGCCCTCTTCCTCGACCACTGCCAATATAGAGGGCTCCCAGGTCCCCACTACAAAGAGCAATGTGACCTCTCTCCCAGTATTCCATAGTACCTTGCCCTCTTCCTCGACCACCGCCAATACAGAGGTCTCCCAGGTCGCCACAACAAAGGGCCCTGAGACCACTCTCCCAGTATCACATAGTACCTTGCCCTCTTCCTCGACCACTGCCAATACAGAGGGCTCCCAGGTCCCCACTACAAAGGGCAATGTTACCTCTCTCCCAGCATTCCATAGTACCTTGCCCTCTTCCTCGACCACCGCCAATACAGAGGGTTCCCAGGTCCCTACTACGAACGGCAATGTGACCTCTCTCCCAGCATTCCATAGTACCTTGCCCGCTTCCTCGACCACCGCCAATACAGAGGGTTCCCAGGTCCCCACTACGAATGGCAATGTGACCTCTCTCCCAGTATTCCATAGTACCTTGCCCTCTTCCTCGACTACCGCCAATACAGAGGGCTCCCAGGTCGCCACAACAATGGGCCCTGAGACCTCTCTCCCAGTATTCCATAGTACCTTTCCCTCTTCCTCGACCACTGCCAATACAGAGGGCTCCCAGGTCCCCACTACAAAGGGCAATGTGACCACTCTCCCAGTATCACATAGTACCTTTCCCTCTTCCTCGACCACTGCCAATACAGGGGGCTCCCAGGTCCCCACTACAAAGGGCAATGTGACCGTTCTCCCAGTATCACATAGTACCTTGCCCTCTTCCTCGACCACCGCCAATACAGAGGGCTCCCAGGTCCCCACTACACAGGGCAATGTTACCTCTCTCCCAGCATTCCATAGTACCTTGCCCTCTTCCTCGACCACCGCCAATACAGAGGGTTCCCAGGTCCCTACTATGAACGGCAATGTGACCTCTCTCCCAGTATCACATAGTACCTTGCCCTCTTCCTCGACCACCGCCAATACAGAGGGCTCCCAGGTCGCCACAACAATGGGCCCTGAGACCTCTCTCCCAGTATTCCATAGTACCTTTCCCTCTTCCTCGACCACTGCCAATACAGAGGGCTCCCAGGTCCCCACTACAAAGGGCAATGTGACCACTCTCCCAGTATCACATAGTACCTTGCCCTCTTCCTCGACCACCGCCAATACAGAGGGCTCCCAGGTCCCCTCTACAAAGGGCAATGTGACCTCTCTCCCAGTATTCCATAGTACCTTGCCCTCTTCCTCGACTACCGCCAATACAGAGGGCTCCCATGTCCCCACAACAAAGGGCCCTGAGACCTCTCTCCCAGTATTCCATAGTACCTTTCCCTCTTCCTCGACCACTGCCAATACAGAGGGCTCCCAGGTCCCCACTACAAAGGGCAATGTGACCGTTCTCCCAGTATCACATAGTACCTTGCCCTCTTCCTCGACCACCGCCAATACAGAGGGCTCCCAGGTCCCCACTACAAAGGGCAATGTTACCTCTCTCCCAGCATTCCATAGTACCTTGTCCTCTTCCTCAACCACAGCCAATACAGAGGGTTCCCAGGTCCCTACTATGAACGGCAATGTGACCTCTCTCCCAGTATCACATAGTACCTTGCCCTCTTCCTCTACCACCGCCAATACAGAGGGCTCCCAGGTCCCCACAACCAAGGGCCCTGAGACCTCTCTCCCAGTATCACATAGTACCTTGCCCTCTTCCTCAACCAGCACCAATACAGAGGGCTCCCAGACCCCTACTACAAATGGCGCTGTGACCTCTCTCCCAATGACAGATAGCACCCCGTCCTCAACCCCCACCGCTACCATTACAGGGAGCCCTCATACAGACAAAACCACTGGAACAGAGGGGACTACCGATTCTACAACCCCAACTGTCACTCCAGCCTCGCCCCCCACCTCCAGCCCACCCTCTCCAGGCTCAACCCAAACCCCAGTTAGCAGCACTGCTGTCCCCATAGATACCTCCACCACCACCCCTGCCCCCTCACCCACCATCACACCTACAGGAGGTACGCTTCAATATTTCATTGTCCGTGTCATTTGTTGTAAACATGATTGTGTCTGTGTTATATCTGAAGGAGGACTAAATTGAATGCAGCAAACTGATTAAAAACAAATATATTATCTTCACTGTGAGATGTTAATCAATGTTGAAGCTTCCTTTCTAATTTGATCTTTGTCATGTCTTCTTTCCTTCTTTTCTTTTACCACAGAAACTCCTGGACAACCAACTAGCAAAACTAGTGAGAGCCCACTTCCTCCTTTCCACACCTCCACCTCCCCTATTGGTGGAAGCACCATCCAGCCAGAGTCAGCCATCACTGCTGCCACATCCCTGCCTCCACCCATCTCCATAGTGTGTCCCTCCACTCCCTGTCCATACAATAGCATCTGTCTCAGTGGCACCTGCCAGTGTGTGTCTGGGACCTTCCTCTTTGAGGGCAGCTGTGTACCAGGTTAGTGCTAGTTGCTAGTGTTATAATGAAGACAATGACAGTGATGATGCAGGAGGATGATGCTGATAATGGCGATGGTGGTGGGGATGATGGTGATGATATTTTTTCCCCTTCATTTTCAGCCCAAGTGTTCTCTGGAGACCTGCATCTCCACAAAATATTTCAGGATGAAATGAGAAACCGGTCATCAGTGATATTTCAGCAAACAGCAGCCATGATCTCAGAGGCAGTAGGTCCTTCAGTCACAAAGCCCAGTAGTTACAATGTATTTTCCTCTCAGACAGAATGACAGTGGTTACAGTGTATTTTCCTCTCAGACAGAATGACAGTGGTTACAGTGTATTCTCCTGTCAGACAGAATGACAGTGGTTACAGTGTATTCTCCTCTCAGACAGAATGACAGTGGTTACAGTGTATTCTCCTCTCAGACAGAATGACAGTGGTTACAATGTATTCTCCTCTCAGAGCTACAGAGGGGGACAATAATCCTCTCTTATCTTATCTTATTTTTAGCTGAGAGGAGCCTTGGAAAACATGTCTGGATACAACCAAACTGATGTTGTGCTGCTTAAGTAAGATTCTCTACGCTACATTGTCAAGAATGGTTGTTATCCAATGTATATCCCACTGGGATTTGTTGTGATGACCAGGACATTGGTTTGACCATACATTTTAACAGCTGGCTTATAATCGTGATTATGTATGGTCTTTGTGACCCTACAGGCAAGGCAGTGTGATAGCGACCGTGAACAACGTGTTTAATCTAGGTTCCAGTGCCACCCAGACTTCGACCGATGCCGCTATAGAGAAAGCCATACAAGTATGTGGGACGACCTGTGGGTCTATACTGGAAAGAGCTAAATTTAACGGTGGGTACTGTGCATTACTGTTCACCCTGTGTAGAAGGAGTGACCAGCAGGGAGATTCTTACTACCTGAGAGCTTTAACCATACTTTCTATTCATTAAAATAATAGGTAGATAGGTACTCTATAATACCAGAGGGAGAAAATGTAATGGCAAACAACAGTAGACTAAAATACTGACATTCTTGTACTCTGTAGACATAAACAAAGTGCCATAAAACATGAAGTACCATTACATAGTGTCAATAACATGACTGGAGTGTGTCCCTGTCCTTTTCCCAGCCACCAACCTATGTGATCAGATCCCCCTACCATGTGATCTCCCCTCTACTACTTGTGAGTACAAAGAAGATGGAGTGACCAGATGCTTCTGTAAGGCTGGCTACATCAACAGCCTCTACTCAAACCGCAGCTGCACAGGTGAGTACAAACCTGTCTCTTATGGGTTTATGCTCATTGAAAGGTTATTCAAGATAGGAGTCGGTGATTATATGTATTAGTAGTCTTTGTGTTTGTACGTACTGAGTGCATTGAAATGTTACACAAGACACAAGATAACGGCTTAGCTACCGTATAATGGAGCTGCTGAACAAATTCCATTTCATAGAGAGAGAAGAGCAAAGGAGATACAAACAGACAGACAGAGGCAGACCCAGAGCAAGGTCAAGTACACTTGGCTTAGCTTCAGTGTGAACAAAATGGGAAAGTTACCATCAAAAGAATGCATTTGCGTTCATGAAAATACTTGTGTGTGTGTGTGTGTGTGTGAGAGAGAGAGAGAGAGGGGGTCAAGTTCTGTGTAGACGTTTCTCCTCTCTGACCCATGGCACTATATATCTCTTTAATGTATTTGTCTGCAAAGGGGGCGTTGCCCTGGAAACCAGTTGAAGAATCATGGTCAGTATCTGCCGAGCCAGGGGCTGGATTAGTTTTGTCCAGCAGGGCAGTTATTGGATGGGGAGAACTACTAAACAATAAGTAATGTAGATGACTGTGCTCCCCACGGCCCCATGGTAAACTACACATACTGTGTAGCCTGTTCCTCAAATCTAAAATTGTACACGCTGATGTTACAGCATATAGCATCTTCTCTAAGAGCAAGTATTTGTTATGTGGCTTATTCAGCTAATTTATTGAGCAAACATTGGTGAGCTTCACCTGGTCTCCTCTGTGATAGCAGAGCTACAGTACACAGAGTGGGTGATAAGATCACAGTGTTCCTATGTTTGTTCCCCTCTGTGAAACTGTGACATCACTGTCTCCATAGAGATCCTATAATTCACATCGTTCTATATGTAATTCTATGGCTGTCTCTCACCTATGTTTCCTCTTTCTCCATAGCCTGTCCCAGTGGTCAAAGGGCAGAGGGAGGCACATGTGTGCCGTGAGTATTTTAATTTAATCTATTTTTGTTTGGTTGAGACAGGCAGAGTTCCCATGTTGATATTGCATTAAAGCACAGTGGATAGCTGCAAATAACTAGCGCCCCCTTGTGCCCGTACTGTGTAATTGCACCAGGAACTACTGTGACCTAAGACAATGTATTGTGGTCAGATGATATGAAATGTGTATCATGTTTGCTATTATTGTTCTATTCCAGATGCCCGTTTGGCTGCGCTGGATTCAACTGCACTGACTGTAAGTTGCACTAAAGCTCCTCTTTCTTAACCAATGGGTACAGAGATTTTATAAAAGTTAGTGTGGTGTTTCCCAGTTATCTGAAGTGTGTTCATGTGTGTGTGTATCTCTCTCTATGTAGCGGCTCTGTTGGCAGTGGTGGTCATCACCTGTGTACTGGGGGGAGTCCTTCTCATCATGCTGCTGGCCCTGTTTGCATACTACTGCTGGTAAGAATATAAAACCCTCCTCTCCTCTCCTCTCCTCTCCTCTCCTCTCCTCTCCTCTCCTCTCCTCTCCTCTCCTCTCCTCTCCTCTCCTCTCCTCTCCTCTCCTCTCCTCTCCTCTACTCTCCTCTACTCTCCTCTCCTCTACTCTCCTAACCATTACTCTTAGCTGCACCCCTGGTTCTACACCCACCCTACAAAATCTTGACGTTATTTCTCTCACCAAATTGTATCATCAGATAGACTTAAAGATATAGAGCTGTACATTTACATTGTCCTATCTGTGTGTCTTGGAGGTACCAGTCGCAGTCGGTGAAGAAGCCTTCAGCAGACTTCAGCAGCCCGTACCCTGTGGAGGACTTCCAGGGCCCCTGGTCCACCACCCAAGGCATCACCCCAATCCCCCGGGCCAGCACCAACTGGGACTCGGCCCCCATGGAGATGACCGAGGGGGGTGGAACACACACCCTGGTCAACAAGAAGCCCCACACCAACGGAGCGGTGAGTCAATTGTGATTAAGCCTGTATTCTTCTGGCCTAATGCATTCTAGACCATATGGAGACTTACTGCTAGATAAACCTACCGCTTGTACATTGCCCCAAATTGTAATTGTCCTGTCTGCTTTCCTCTCACTGCGTTTGTCCTCTGGAAACCTAATACGCTAACTCCAAGATCTTCTCTGTCTTGTGTAACATATTTAAGATGTGTGGTGTCCGAGATAACGAGGCTGATTATGCTGTGATGATAAGAAGTCCACTTACACTGTACTTTGATTATAAAGGTTTATTGTATCAAAGATCACAGTATCAATTTACAGACATCTGCAGATATCTGGAGAACAACGGCCCAATCTGTTAATATGTTGTTTCTCCCCGTCCTTTGTTCAAAACATGGTATTTATCCTATGTAACATAAGATGGGTGGTTTTTGACAGACCAATCCCTGGCCTCCACATATCTCCAAATGTCCTCTATTCCAAGAAGCCTATGTAGTAATGCTTTCCAGATGTTTCAGCAAAGCAGAGTAAAGTTAATCTATTACACCATTTGCAAATGTCAGCAAAATCATAGACCTTCAGACACTACAGATGCTTTGAGATGTTGTCTCCTTAAATGCTGTGTGCTACTTGTTATTTAACTCCTATATTACGTGCGTAAATCGTATGTAATATTTGAGTTGCTTGTTGTGCTATAACTGTAGCTGTCGTAGTGGAGAGTTAATGTTTGCTAGTGTTTAAGTTAGCGAGTTAGTTAGCATGTATGTGTTCCTTCCCTTCTTTGCCTGACTCCCAGTGTGTTGCTTTAGGGATTCCACATTATGCCTAAACGGGGGAAGAAGGTAAGGTTCTATGTCTAGTAAAGCTTTGCTTTCCCTCTCCTTACTAATCAAGCATATAAACTATGCTGATGATTTTACTAAACCTACCCTGTCCTTTGACCTGGTGATGGGAAAGACTGAAACTTAATGAACGCTTGGTGGAACAGTCAATAGCTTCCAATACCTTTTGTGATCCACCATTTGGTTTATGAGGAAAATAACTCTTATTGGGTTTCAATAGTTCAAAATATACCGGGAACACAAGCGTTGATGAATGGTCCGTTTTGTCATCTTAATTTCATGTATGTTGCTGTTTGATTTGTGTGTTTGTGTGTGTGTCTGCATGTGTCTGCGTGTTCTCTGACATTCCTGCCTGTCAATGTTTCAGACCGGGTCGTATGACCTGACCTCAGACAGCATGAACACGTTCAAGGGGAAGAACCAGTCTCGCTACTCCTACCTGGTGCAGGGCCACGAGAACCCTTACTTCATACCTGCAGAAGAGAGGAGACCCGAATGAGAACCTCAGTGATGTCTGGAGACAAGGACCTCTATTGACAAAGCGTCTTAAAGCAGAAATGCTGATCTAGGATCATTTTTGCCTTTTTAAATCATAATTACTAAAAAGGGGAGACCTGATCCTAGATCAACACTCCTACTCTGAGATGCTTTGTGAATATTTGCCATTGAGAGGAGAGAAGGATGGGTTAGAGAGAGGAGGGAAGGCTACAGGGAAGGTGGGGGGTATCTCACAAAAATAGCTAAAGATCAAATTGAGAAGTCACTGACTTCTAGTAACACTGGGTATAGGTACATCCTCTCACTGTATTTGTGTTGAACTGTGTATAACTCTGTGTATACCTCAGGATGTTCTGGTAGATGCCCTATAATGTATAGGGCATCTGGAGTAATTAATGGTTTACAGTCATTCAAGGACTGGAGTCATTTATGGTTTAACGACACAACTACAAGGGACTTGACAGCAGGGTTTTAAATATGTTCTTCTTAAATCCAGTCTCAAAATCAGCTTTATGATTCAAAACGATCTGGGGTCAAACAATCACGGACTTCACAGGGATTCACTTCAATAACTGACACCACCAAAGAGGATATTGTTCACTATAAATTAATGGTTTACGTTTGAAATGTTCAGTTCATCTGATCATAGTCTTTATTCTGTTCTACATTACAAACAGAGGATTCTGAACAAGATTTGTAAAAAATATATATAATATTATGTTTTATTTGTGTCTATTAGGCTGCGTTTAGACAGGCAGCCCAAATTCTAATTTTCTCACTAATTGGTCTTTTGAAAAACATCTGATGTGAAAAGATCTGATGTGGTTGGTCAAAAGACCGATTAGTGGGAAAAAAAGGTCAGAATTGGACTGCCTTAAACGCAGCCTTATTGAATGAAGAGTGAGCTGAGTATAGCTCGTCATAGCCAGTAGATGCCGCCATTGTTCAGGGTCAAGCTTTTCATGTTCTTTTTTTCTGCAGTATGCCGGTACAGTTAGTTACCTGTATTTCTATGTCTTATTGAAGAGATTACTGATATATTTTATTGAAGATTGGTCATTCTGCATTGTAGTGTCTGCGCTCTCACAATCACCATATTATTTCAAAATGATTCATCTCTTGCTAATTGCACTAAATTATATATTGCGTTTCACTACATGTTATTTGTTTGGGTGGGGGAAATCATAGACATATTGTCAGTGAGAGCAAATTTATTTTTGTATTTTTACTTAAGGATTGATTGTGTTTTGATGAGGAGAGCTGTGTGTGTGAATGGTTGAAGGAGCTGGATCCCTAGTTCAGGGGTTTATACACAAAAGGGATATTTTGTATTAGTCTGGTCTGGAGCTGAGTAGACCTACTCTACAGTCTATTAGTCTGGCCTGGAGCTGAGTAGACCTACTCTACAGTCTATTAGTCTGGCCTGGAGCTGAGTAGACCTACTCTACAGTCTATTAGTCTGGCCTGGAGCTGAGTAGACCTACTCTACAGTCTATTAGTCTGGCCTGGAGCTGAGTAGGCCTACATTCTCTGTTATTAGTAGTTTCCCTGCTGAAGCTGTCTGCATCTGCAAATGTGCCTATTTTCGATTGGTCTGTTTGAAGAATAGATAAATTATGCAAAAAAAGCTCTTGACAAAGCTTGTTCTCGGATGTGCCAATTACCATATCTATACACTTCCGCAAAAATGTTATGTTTCTGGAAGTCTTTCATGTGTCTGTGTGTATTTGTGAGTACGTGTGTCTTGGAGACAGTGCACTATTTTCTAAATGTATATACAACTTTTGTAAATGAAATGTCTTACTGCAGAGAATGATGGAAGTGCGATGAAAATAAATAAATACATTTAAACACAACATGACTTTTCCTTACGTTATCATGCAGAAATGTTTTGTTAATTAACATTAGTGGATGTATATGTGTATGGTCCACCTGTTACGAAGGAAATTCATATTTTTGCTCTGATCCCAATAACTTCCCTAGACAACACACAAACACATGACACACACCCAGAAACCCACACACACAGAGGGGGCTGAAATCAGGGGCTGGCGTATATGTGTGTGTGTGTGTACGTGCATACATGTGTGTGTTTGTGTGTGTATCAGTGTGTGCGTGTGTTAATCATGCTGTTCCTCAGTTTAACATCCGTCCCTATTGGCATCAGCTTTAGGTTTTAACACCATTCTGTCTGTAATTACACCCACATAAATCATGCAGCCATAGCTCTCATGAGTAGGCCCTATAGGGGAAAGTACAGTAACTTCCGAAAGTATTCACACCCGTTGACTTTTTCCATATTTTGTTGTGTTACAGCCCGAATGTAAAATTGATTACATTGAGATTTTGTGTCACTGGCCTATACACAATACCCTCTAATGTCAAAGTGGAATTATGTTAATTTTTTATTTTTACAAATTAATTACAAATGAAAAGCTGAAATGTCTTGAGTCAATAAGTATTCAACGCCTTTGCCATGGCAAGCCTAAATAAATTCAGGAGTAACATTTTTATTGACAAGTCACGTAATAAGTTGCATGTACTCACTCTGTGTGCAATAATAGTGTTAAACATGATTTTTGAATGACTACCTCATCTCTGTACCCCACACATACAATTATATGTAAGGTCCCTCAGTCGAGCAGTGGATTTCAAACACAGATTCAACCACAAAGAACAGGGAGGTTTTCCAATGCCTCGTAAAGAAGGGCACCTATTGGTAGATGGGTAAAAATAATAAAAGCAAACATTGAATATCCCTTTGAGCATGATGACGTTATTAATTGCACTTTGGACGGTGTATCAATACACCAAGTCACTACAAAGATACAGGCATCCTTCCTAACTCAGTTGCCGGAGAGGAAGGAAACCGCTCAGGGATTTCACCATGAGGCCAATGGTGACTTTAAATCAGTTAAAGAGTTTAATGGCTGTGATAGGCGAAAACTGAGGTTGGATCTACAACAATGTAGTTACTCCACAATAGTAACCAAATGACAGAGTGAAAAAAGAAAGCCTGTACAGAATTAAACTATTCCAAAACATGCATCCCGTTTCCAATAAGGCACTAAAGTAAAACTGCAAAAAAGGTGGCAAAGAAATTAACTTTATATCCTGAATACAAAGTGTTATGTTTGGGGCAAATCCAACACAACACATCACTGAGTCCCACTCTTCATATACCAGGCCAAATATACACTGAGTTAGTTACCAACACGACATTGAATGTTCCTGATTGGCCTAGTTACAGATCTGACTTAAATCAGCTTAAAAATATATTGCATGACTTGAAAATGACTGTCTAACAATGATCAACAACCAACTTGACAGAGCTTGAAGAAATGTTATAAAGAATAATGGGCAAATATTGTACAATCCAGGTGTGCAAAGCTCTTACAGACTTACCCAGAAAGACTCACAGCTGTAATCGCTGCCAAAGGTGCTTCTACAAAGTATTGACTCAGGGGTGTGAATACTTATGTAAATGAGATATTTCTGTATTTCATTTTCAATACATTTGCTAAAATTTCAAAAAACATGTTTTCACTTTGTCATTATGGGGTATTGGGTGTAGACGGGTGCGATTCTTTATTTATTTAATCCATTTTGAATTCAGGCTGTAACACAACAAAATGTGGAATAAGTCAAGGGGTATGAATACTTTCTGAAGGCACTGTACATGGAGGATGCCTCATGCTATTTAGCCTAGATCAGCCCATCACAGCCCATCACAGCCCATAGGCACATCCAGCTGAATTAGTGTCTGTGCGATACACAACCCATTCATTTGACCCGCCGGAGCTGTGGGAATGGGGACGCAATCCAATAACTATCGAGCCTCGAGCAACCGGAGCCAGGGCGTCGTCTCGAGGAACTTCCCCTGCTCCTTTTGAAAGGCCTTCTATAGCGTCCTCTTCATGTGTTGAACAGATAAAGAGATCAATTACCCAGAGATCCAGTCTGTCTCATTCAGTCAGACTCACGGTGAGATAGAGCTGTGGTTCGACTTTTTATCACACCACCACTGTCCCAGGGACAGGGATTATCACACCACTATTAGGGGGACAGGGACTACATTCAAAGCCCTATAGCAGGACCTCTATACCAGGCGGTGTCAAAGGAAGGCCCTAAAAATTGTCAAAGACTCCAGCCACCCAAGTCATAGACAAGTCTGGAACCAACAGGACCCTGAACAGCTTCTACCCCCAAGCCATAAGACTGCTAAATAGTTAGTTCGGGTAGATATTGGTTAACTATTTAACTATCTGCATTACCCTTTTTGCACTAACTCTTTGACTCATCACATACGCTGCAGCTACTGTTTATTATCTATCATGTTGCTTAGTCACTTTATCCCTACCTACACTGAGTGTACAAAACATTAGGAACACCTTCCTAATATTGAGTTGCACCCTCTTTTGCCCTCAGAACAGCTTCAACTCCACAAGGTGTCGAAAGCATTCTACAGGGATGCTGGCCCATGTTGACTCCAATGCTTTCCACAGTTTAATCAAGTTGGCTGAATGTCCCTTGGGTGGTGGATCATTCTTGATACACACAGGAAACTGTTGAGCGTGAAAAACCCAGCAGAGTTGCAGTTCTTGACACACTCAAACCGGTGCGCCTGGCACCTAATACCATACCCCATTCAAAGGCACTTACATCGTTTGTCTTGCCTTCTGAATGGCAAACATACACAATCCATGTCTCAATTGTCTCATGGCTTAAAAATCCTTCTTTAACCTGTCTCCTCCCCTTCATCTACACTGATTGATTTGGATTTAACAGGTGACATCAACAAGGGATCATTGCTTTCACCTGGATTCACCTGGTCAGTCTATGTCATGGAAAGAGCATGTTTTGTACACTCAGTGTATACAGTACATATCTACCTCAATTACATCGTACACATGTACATCGACTCGGTAGTGGTACCCCGTGTATATAACCAAGTTATCGATACTCATTATGTATTTATTCCTTGTGTTATTATTTTTCTATTATTTTTCTCTCTGCATTGTTGGGAAGGCCCCGTAAGAAAGTATTTCCCTGTTAGTCTACACCTGTTGTTTAAGAAAGCGTGTGAAAAACAATTTAGATGTAAGCATACACTGGGAGATTCTTCCATTAGCAACAGGACACTATCAGTGTCCCTCAGAAATCACCTGCCCCTGTCTAAATGCAGTGATACTCTGGCAATGTTTAGGTCAATATTGCCAGCAGATATTGGGAGATATTAAAAAGTGGCAACTCCTATCGGAGGAGATTTGAGTGTTGAAATATTGAGATAGTTGTTCCTATCCCATCCTATAAATTGTTAGTTGTGTAGAGACACCACAAACAGCTGCAGGGAGAGCAGATGCCGAAG